ATCTTAGTTAGGGTTTCTATTGCTATGATAAAATACCATGGCCAAATAATTTGGAGAGAAAAGGGTTTATTTGGCTTATACTTCCATTTCATTGTTCATCATTGAAAGAATTCAGAACAGGAACTCAAACATGGCAGGGGGCTGATACAGAGACTATGGATCGGTGCTGCTTACTGGCTTTTTCTTCATGGCTTGCTTGCTTTCTTATAGAACCCAGGACTACCAGCCCAGGGATGACACCTAAGAAAATGTCTTACAGCTGTATCTTATGGAGGCATTTTCTCAACTGAAGTTCATTCCTTGCTGATGACTTGTGTCAAGTTGAAACTATCCAGTACAATCTACAAAATTGTGAAGTTCTATTGAATGCAATTTTCATTACAGGATAATCATAATTAGAAGAGGTGGAATGTTGAGGTTTGAATGTGAAATGTCTTCCATAATTTCAAGTGCCAAAACACTTGATCCCCAGCTATTGGCATGACTTTTGGAGACTGTAGAACTCTTGAAATGTGGGGGTTAGCTGTAGGACATAGGCTGCCAAAGGGGTCTTTGGAGGTTATATTTTGTTTTTTTCTATCTCTTTTCTTCTTAGTTTTGCTGCCATATCAGAGACTTTGTCACATGCTCATGACACAATGGAACCAACCAACTAAGATGCACTATACCTGCTGAAATCATAACCGAAATAAGCTGTTCTCCCATTAAATTACTTTAAAGAAGTTTGGTTGTGGAGGGGATGGCTCAATGGTTAAGAATGCTTACTGCTTTTCCAGAGCACATGTTTGGTTCCCAGCATCCATACTATGTAGCTGACAACCACCTGCAACTGTGGTTGCAAGGTATTTAACACACTCATTTGACCTCAAGTGGTACCACTTGAACAAATCTCTCTCTCTCTCTCTCTCTCTCTCTCTCTCTCTCTCTCTCTCTCACACACACACACACACACACACCACAGACATAAAAATAAATATCAGTCCTACATTTTTTAAAAAAATATTTCTTTTGTTGTGTATGCACATGTGCCATGGTGTCCTTGTGGAAGTCAAAGGACAGCATGCAGGAGTTACTTCTTTTCTCTTTCATGTGGGTTTCAGGGATCAAACTCAATTTTTCAGGCTTGTCCGCTGGTCACAATAGCCCTATTTTGTTTTCTTTTTTAATTAAGTGTGTGTGTGTGTGTGTGTGTGTGTGTGTGTGTGTGTGTGTGTGTATGTGTGTATGTATGAGAAAGAGAGAAAGGTAGGGAAGGGTTTTGAGAAGGGTTACTAAGTTGCTTTTGCAGGCATTTTGTCAATCCCAAAGAAAAGTAATTTAGGATTATGGAGAAGAAGGAGTGGTGTTCTTGGGAAGAATCAGGCCTTAGGGCATTCTCAGTACAGGAGGGACCAGGTTAGAAGAAAGTAGTGCAGACATTGTCATCAAATCCACTATATCATTCAGCAAAGGGATAAACCTCTCACCACTTCAGCCAGCATTGAATAATTCCAGCCACTTGTTGGGTGGTGGGTTGGGCTCTGAGTCTCCAGAGGAGTCCTGGGCTAGATTGCAAAGATCCCTGCCTTTATGGGCTGCAAGCCAGGAGAGAGCCCATGTGAATCCAGGTATCATGAGTTTGTGGGGGCTGTGTGGGAGGTGTAAGCAGTTTGCTTTAGGTTGTGATACATTTGATCAACTGTTCAGGGTAGGGGGTTGATATTTTTTTAAGTTTATGAGGTGTTGAATATGAGGTAGGAGATCAACTCTACGGCACAATAGACCATAGCGGGGAAGAGGGGATGAAATTTAGAAAACTGAGCTGGAGATAAGTTTGGAAGAGTGATTGCTCTAGACCCACTTAAAGATTTTCTTAGTCAGAAATACAGATGCACTGGAAACTGCTTTCATAATTATTTTTTACTTGAATCAGAAAATAGACTTAAAAAAAATCAGCTGTTGAGGTTATGACCCCAGAAGGAGGATGAAAGAAAGATGTACAGAACAAAGCTGAGCCATGGGGTGGGGCAATCGTCATTTATTTATATGTAGAATAAGATAGTGATCTGAAATGTCAACCTGATATTTGCCAAATTGTGTACAGATGCTGGCTTGAAGTTCAGGGTTTTTATAGAGCAGCAGCACTTAGTCCTTCAAACATTAGCCTAACCCTGGTGGCAGGAGAGTCTGCTAACCACAGAAGAAAAGCCTGCTAGGGGAGAATACCCCTAAAAGGTTTGAGATTGGGGTTCTTAGGGGACACCAAGGAAATATTATCTTTTGGCATAAGAATGTTATGAGAAGAGTATTAATGTTGCAGACAGACAGACAACAGCACTGGGAGGAATGCATGAGTTCTGAGGAGAATTCAGGCCCATGTGGCATAGTGGGGTCCCTTCTTCCAGTTTTCACAGGAAGTGGTGTGGGAAGGAGATTGGAAATTTCCCCTTTTGGTTTGCTGGGGTGACCAGGGAATAGTCAATTAAAGAATAACAGTTAATGGGTAAACATCTTCTCTGGTCATTTGGGGGCGGTTAATAGGGCAAAGAAGGCAAGCATCCAAAGAAGCATTATCACTTTAGCTACATAATTGTCACAGTTTAATCGAAATGAAGGAGATTTATAGAAACGGCCTGACCGTTGAACTGGAGATTCTGGGGCTGCTCCTCTCAGTGGCTGCTGGATCTTCCCAGTTCTGCAAGAGAAGACTGATATGCATAGATGGAAGGGTACCCAGGGAGCTCAGGGGGTTGCCTTATCACCGAGGCAGATAACCTGAGTTTGATTTCTGGATCCCGCGTGGTGGTAGAAGAAGAGAACATGTTTCTGAAGGTTGTCCTTTGACCTCCACACACTGTGTGGGGCTCATACATCCACATGCATGTACACAGACAACAAATAAAGTGTAATAATTAAAAAGGGTGTGTGGAAAGGAAAGCTACCAGACACCCTTTCAGCAAGGACTCCAGAAGGGTCCTTGGGATCCCCTCGTAGGGGATCTGTGCTGAAGAACCCACCCCAGGGATGGTTTTGAAAGGGCAGAACATGTGTGTGTCCCTTAGCTAATTGCTAACTCAGTGGGTTTATATTAAGTATCACAATAAAAGTCATAAAATAAGTACAAGATAGTATCACACAATGCAAATTCTTCTGAAAAAGACAGACAAAAATGTACATTGACAAAGAGTTGACAGGAGCGACCACCATTTATATTTTGCTTAATATAGCATTAGGGATTTTCATATTCTGTAAGCTCATTTGCATGCATTTTAACAAAGGTACACACTGCAGATCAAGTTGGTGCCACAGAACTATACTCTTTAAACTACCTTAACAGGTAACATATATGTGTGCATTATGTATTGCATATATGATAAAAATGCTTTCACAACAGCTGCATGGCACATAGTGTGCATTTGTACTTAGCATCATCTTACTTAATAGTGACTCGAATTGCACTCATCTCCACACTTTTCCACCGTTGGAACCAGTGGTGATGTGAAGCCACCTCAGCATGTATGTACCTAACCGGTACCACAGGTAATGTCCTCTCCTGCCTGTCTAATGACTTCTCATCACCTAGTGATGATTTGGAGGGTGAGTTTTCTCCTTGAGCTTCCATATGTCTCAGGAACTCTTGTGAAACCTACTTGAAGTGCTTGTCTAACACGCTGCTTCTGCTTGTCGCTTGACTCATACCTCTGATGTAGTGGAACTTTCCAAAAACACAGCCTGTTCCCTGTCTAAAATTTATGTCTTGTCTGCTTCTGAATATGGGGCTCCATTACCTCATTCTCGGTGCCCTCATTTGTTTGTCATCCCTGAAACCAAGATGGCATTGTAGGAGACAGCAGGGAGCTGGAACTCTAAGCTCTAGGCGTGAGGCAAAGACATGTTTATCTTCTTTTATGGAGCCATGGAACAACTTTACTTAATGTTCTTCTAGTCCTGTTTCACTCCTGAGACTTCATAGCTCAGTGACTTGCACTTTCCTAACTTGGCACTTATTCATTCCCTCATCTGGATTGTGGAGTCCATTCCATTGCTTAAAACTCACCCTTGTTTTAATAACTGGATAAAATGTTCTGTGCATTACTCCTGAATGCATAAGACTATGAAAAAGGAGGGTGGCGTATGCAGAGGAAGGGCATAGGGTATGCATGTTTGCATGACAAGGACATAGAATAGCATTGTCTCTAGGGGAAACCAATCTCTCCAAGGTATGCACTAGGCATTCTTTTCTCCCAGGTTCCCAAATGCTGGACTTCTTATGTGCTGGGTGTCTGGAGAAAGGGAACATTGCCTGAGTTAATGAGGGCAGAATTCGTGTAGTTTGTCATGAGAGTGTGTAGAGATGTACAAGGAAAGAGCTGAATGATGTATATCAGAGCTAACTGAAAGGGAAAATTAGAGAACAAAGAGAAAAATTGATATTGGAGTGCGCACAGTGAATCTTGATTTCTAGGAACAGTAGGATGAGAGATAGTAGCTTAGGGCAGAGAAAGTGGCTAGGTTTGGCTCAGTCAAGTACAGAAGAAAGACCTTGTTCAAACTAGTTTTCCAAAGTGACAGGCTTTGAGTGCCAGTAAATAATATCCGGACACACTTCCATGGAAACCTCCTAATGTGTCCTCACAACCTCCTGGGAGTCCACTGTGACATAGTTAATGAGAATACATGTATACTGATTCTTATCAGTATGTAGGCCTTGATTCACAAGGCAAAGGAAGGGGAATGATTCAGGGGCAAAAATGAAGATAAAAGAAATTTAATGGAGCAAAGCAGGAAACATGCATTTTTTCTCAAAGAGAATCCCATAGAGTTCTACTTCAGATGAGCTCCGAGGAATCAACGGGTATTCAAAGCACTGAGACCTTCTGCTTAACTCGGAGGCTCTAAAGACACCTTGGAGGGCATGGAGGAACACACCATGGCATGCATTTTTAGGGTACAATAGAGAGTGTGGCAAAATATTGCTACAGGTAGCAATGTCTCTAGACAATGGAGACATAAGCAGACAGGAATGAGTTCAGCAACAAGTGATTGGCTCTTCAATGACATGGCTGGCTAAGGACTATGTTACTTCTGCTTCATCTTTTGCTGAGTTAGTTCTGGAGTGACATTTGTAGGGTATACCTCAGTAACCTTAGACTGGCATGGCTCTGGTACCTTAGAATATCCCTGGCCAGGTACCTTAGTGTAGCCCTGATCAGGGACTTTGGTATAGTTGGGCTCTGAGGTGTTTACATAGACAGGTTCAGCGACATTGGTAGAGCATGGCCCAGGCATTGTGGTATAATCTGGCTGAGGGATGTTGGTAGAGCATGGCCCAGGCATTGTGGTATAATCTGGCTGAGGGATGTTGGTAGAGCATGGCCCAGGCATTGTGGTATAATCTGGCTGAGGGTTGTTGGTAGAGCATGGCCCAGGCATTGTGGTATAATCTGGCTGAGGGTTGTTGGTAGAGCATGGCCCAGGCATTGTGGTATAATCTGGCTGAGGGTTGTTGGTAGAGCACGGCCCAGGCATTGTGGTATAATCTGGCTCAGGGTTGTTGGTAGGGCATGGCCCAGGCATTGTGGTATAATCTGGCTCAGGGTTGTTAGTAGAGCATGGCCCAGGCATTGTGGTATAATCTGGCCCAAGGACAACTGTGCTGCCTGGCTCAGGCACTTTGGTATTACATGGCTCTGAAATCTTGGTGTTTCCTGGTTGTGGAACATCTGTACAGCATGGCTCCGTGGTGGTCATGGGAACAAATTGTCCTTGTGATGGAGGCTCACAAGGTTGCTTCACTTGATGTTGTTGAGGCTGAGGAGGTGCGGTAAAAGGCTGCTTCTGCTGGTAAGAACTCATTCTTCAAAGGCTGCTGACCCTAGAGACAGGACAACTGATTAGGTAGTTTTGAGGAAATTGGTAGAAGCCCATTTTTTTCATTACTTTTCCCTATGAATTAAAGATTTCTATTTCCCCGAGCTGGATGGAAATCATAGCTTGCTTTTATAGTTGTTACTTATTTTTTTATACTATTTATTTGTATTTTATGTACACTGGTATTTTGTCTGCATGTATGTCTGTGTGAGGGCATTGGATGCCCTGGAACTGGAGTCACAGACAGTTGTGAGCTGCCATATGAGTGCTGGTATTTGAATCCGAGTACTCTGAAAAAGTAGCCAGTGCTCTTAGCTCCTGAGCCATCTCTCCAGCCTAGTTGTTACTTATTTTTAAGGAAAAAAAAGATAAAGGCAATTTGATAATCTCTGTATAAGAAATAAATGGTTATAGGCAATTCCTTTTTTTCTTCATTCCTTCCTTCCTTCCTTCCTTTCTTCCTTCCTTCCTTCCTTCCTTCAGTTTTTCAAAACAGGCTTTCATTGTGAAACAGTTCTGGATGTCCTGGAATTCCCTCTGCAGACCCGGCTGACCTCAAACTCATAGAGATTCTTCTGCTTCTGCCTCCCCAGTGCTGGAATTAAAGGCATGGGCCACCACTGCCCAGCTATAGTCAATTTTGTTATGAGGCACACTTCACATTTGTCAGTTACAGATCCCAGGAGACACTAGAGCCCATTCTTCTGTGGCTGGCAGTTGTAGCTGCTTGTCTGGAAGATAGATAGCTACAGGCAGTTTGCTTTGTGACTGAGCCCACAAACAGAAAATGGTGCAGCCTCCAGTTGCAGATTATTCATTATATAAGGCTCTATGTCCTGAACTAAAAGTACAGGATATTTGTGAGGTGGACAAGTCTTGGCCTATGGGAAGAAAGGTCAGGGATTTCTCAAGATCTTGCCTTATACTAGTCAAACACCATGGACACCATTGTCTTTTCTCTCTGCTGTTATTCCCTTCTGCAGAATAGCACATTAAAAACTGTTTCCTCTTCACTAGTCTCTTGAATTTATTACTTTTTCTAGTCTGTATGACTAGGGCCCTTTTATAATTTTTTCCTCTATTTTTTTTTAAAAAAAATCTATGTATAGACCATAAAGCATAACAACTCAAACCAACCAACAGTAAGTGCCTAGGATTGAGAATCTCTAGCTTTTCTGTCATTTCAGAGAATTGTAGAGCAGAAATATCTAGAGAGGAACTCTCATAGGAAGGGTCCCTGTGAACCTTGCCTCATGCTTGCATGAGTCACATCTGAGCTCCAATTCACACTTTTCCTCTACATTTGTTTATCATGTGTTCTCACATGCTTGTTCACACAGGCTCACCCATGGCGACTTCCCACCCAAGGCCTCTGCCAGATTCAAAGTCTTCTTCCTTCTTTTATCCTAGCAAGAACCTGACTATTTCAAGTAAACCCTGTATATATTCATGATGGATTATAGGTTCATGGAACAAAGAAGATTTTAAGATTTGAGCACCCAAATACATAGAGCAGTGCCTTTGATGATGACAATTCTCAAGATTAGAGGATGCCTGGTCCTGTTGTTGCACCCACAGCTTCCTGTTAGCTGAATGCTGTTCTTTATAGATCACCCCCCTTTTTCTGATCCCCAGTCCTACATAATTTGAGAGGTAAGTGAAACATCTATAGTGAAAATAAAGAGGACAAACCTTTAGGTTGTCAAGAGTCACCAGCCGAGATCAACACCACAGAGTGACTGTTAGAAAATTCTAAGTGGAGAGTCTTACCTCAGATGATGAAGCTCTCTGGACTCTTGGATGCAGTGAGAGATCTCTGGCCAGCTGGATTTTTATACAGAAAATGAGCCCTTCCTTAAGGAAGTGAATTTTTGGAGTTGCTCTGCCTTCATTCCAGCTTTTGTGGAGGAAAAGCTGTGGTTTAACATTGTATTCATGCTTACTGTCTGATGGTGATGTCACCTGGCCTGACTCCATTGTCCACCCTTCTGGTGTGACTGCTATGATGGGGATCAGGCTTCTTGACATATTAAATCAAAAGGAAGTGATAGATGCCTTGGACTAGAACCAACCCTATCCACTAATCCTGTTCAGCTTTTCAGTGTTTGGAGTGGATGAAGAAGTATTTCTAGTTCTTCTGGAAGGTCTTAGGGACATGGCAATGAAGAATTCATGTGTCAGTGGAGTCCTGCTGGTGAGGGCAAATAGGATGCTTAAAGTATGAGAGTTTTGGAAACCAGTTCTTTTCACTATGGAGGGGGCCCTTAAAATGACAGGCTTCTTTTAAAAATCATACATTGAAAACTTCTGATTACCAAATAATATTATGCATCTTTGAAACAAAGTGATGTTTTGCTTCACACGAACATTGTGTAAATATCAAACCAAGGCTATCAATATATGTAGCACTTCAGACTTTTATTTTTTTTTTCTCCAGGGAAAATGCGTTCAAAAATCCTCTCAGCCATTTTAAAATATATTATACATTGTTCTTCACTAACCCAAGGTGCTATTAAACACCCCTATCCCTACTACTGTTTCCAGCTTCTGATAAGCATAATTCTACCTTCAGTTTTCATAAAACCATGTGTTTTAGATTTTACATATGAGCAAGCTCATGTGATATTTGTCTTTCCCATTTTATTTACCATAGCGATCCCCAGTTCCATCCATATTGTCACCAATTTGAAAAAGTTCTGTCCTCTGCTATAGCCAAATATGATCCATTGTGTATGTATCCCATTACCTTTATCCATTAATTATAAATAGGGCTTCAATGAACTTTGGAGTTCAGTGGCTCCTGTAACATGTTGCTGGGAGGGGGGACATACTTAGTGGTGGGGTTGCAGGTTTGTAAAGTAATATTACTTTCAGTCTTTTTCTGTTTCTGTAAACGCTGTACTAACTTACATTTCCATGAATAATGTAGTTGAACTTTTCTTCCTCTGTATCTTGGCCAGGGTTTGTTGATTTTTGCTTTGTTGATAATGGCCATTTTGGGCCATTGGTATTTGGGCGATGTGATATTTCCTTGTATTTTTGATTTGAGTTTCTATGATGTTTAGGGATGCGGAACTTCTCCTTTTAAATGTATCTATTCATATCTTCACTTGAGAAATTCAGTTCTTTATCCTATAGTTTTATTGGGTCATTAGGTCAGACATTTCTTTCTGTTGCATAATTTTACTATTTTATATATTGTGGATATTAATATCCTTTCAGATATTCAGTTTAAAGGATTTTTTTTTCAGTTTTGAAATTGTCACAGCACTGCTGCTTTTTTATTTTATTTTACAGTGCAGAGCTTTTGGGCTTCATTTAATCCCATTTGTCAACTTTGGCTTGTATTGTTTGTGTAATTTTAAACTCCTTTATTGAATATTTGGGGATTTCACATCATGCACCCCAATTATGTTCACCAACTGGTTCCCTCCAATAAGTCCCATTATCCTTGTTGTGTCCTGCATAAAGAAAACAAAACAAAGTAAGCAAGCAAATGAAAGCAAAACCAAAAAACCCCAGTAAACTAAAACAGAACAAAAACCACACCAGGAACAGAAAGATCTCTGCTTTTCCTTCTATCCTGCCCATCCACCACTTCTTCATCCATCCTGTTGGCACTGGAGGCTTCAGTGTGTCATATAGCACACCCTTGTTCCATCAACTTCATTGCAATGAACTGGCTGGTTCAAGGCCTCTGGTTTCTGTTACACAAAACAGAAATAAATAAAATTCCAAAAGGAAATTTAATAGGCTGGATGGATGGAGAGATGGCTCAGCAGTTAACAGCCTTGGCTGCTTTTTCCAGAGGTCCTGAGTTCTATTCCCAGCAACCATGTGGCGGCTCACAAATATCTATAATAGGATCTAATGCCCTCTTCTGGCATGCAGGCATACATTCAAAGCACTCATACACAAAATGGAAATGAATAAAATCCCAAAAGTTGTTTATGTTTTGTGTGATATTTAAGTGTTTTCCCAAGCCAATATACTGAAGAATTTTCCATGCTTTCTTTCAGCAGTTAAAGCAATTTTCATCATATATTTAAGTCCGTTCGAGCTATTCACAGTTGACCTTTATAACTAGTGAGGGATAGACAACCTGGTGTTATTCATCAGCATACATAACTTTGCACAGCACCGTTCATTATTTATTGAGGAGTTTGCCCCTGCTGTGTCATGCTTCTTGCTCCTTTGCTCAATGCAGTTAGCTGTAAGTGCATGGGGTTTATTTCTGAGCTTTCTATACTGTTACACTGGTCAAGGAGAGTGAGTTTATACCAGTATCATGCTATTTTAGTTTCTGCAAGTTTGTAGTGTGCTTTCAAGCTAACTACCGTGATGCCTTCAGTGTAGTTTTCTAGACAGATTTGACTATTTAGGGGACTTTTATGATCTTAAAAATTTCAGGATTTTTGGTATTCCATTTTTTTTTTATATTTTGGTAAGTATTTCATGGATATTTTAACATGTTAAATACCTCCAATACATGGGTATAGAATATCTTTCATTGTGTTTGTATTATTTTCAAGTTCTTCTATGAGTGTTTCATAATTTCCATGTAGATGTTTTCATCCTAGTGTTAATTTTACCAATATACATTTTATTATTATAGATATTGTAAATGGGATTGTTCTTGTAATACTTTTTATAGAACATATGCTATACATATGTAGAGATGTTATGTTGGTTTTATTTCTTGTATTGTTACAGAATTGGTCTATTAGCTTCAGCACTTTTTGTGTTCCCCATATAGTTGTCCATATATAAGGTGCTGTGATTTCTTATCTTTGTGTTTCTTACATTCATAACTTATTTTAGGAGACAATCACATTTCTGGATCTGCAGGTATTTTTGAAACTGATAGTAACTCACCATGTATTCTACCCTAGCTTCTGCTGAGATTAGCAGGCAATGCTCTGGCCGGGCACACTTTGCTTTCAGGGTCTATAGCAGCATGAACTGCTGAACTCAAATGGAACACT